GGCCAAGGACCGTGTAGAGCAGGAGACAGCAACGTACAATACAAAGGCAGGCGCACGCCCACACACACACACACACACAAACACACTGTTCTCATATCAATTTATTGATCGTAGCAGATGGCCGCCAATCAATCTTATCTCCGCTCCACACATTCTCCCTCACACCTCCAGAGGGACCCGATAACGCACTGTGCTGGGAGGGCTGAGCATACCATATTTTCATCAGAGACCTTGAACACATTTTATACTCGGTGTGTGTGTGTGTGTGTGTGTGTGTGTGTGTGTGTGTGTGTGTGTGTGTGAGAGAGAGAGAGCGAGAGAGAGAGAGAGAGATACATCCTAATATACCTACTACTGTACATACCAAATGATATACTGTCTATACATTCCATGTATTTATATTCTGGATTCTGACATGCTCACTTTAATATACCTATCTACTTTGGATTGTTAATTGGACTCGTTCTGTCATTTCTTGATTTCGTCTTTAGATTTTTAGATTATTTGAGTATTTGTATTGTATTTGCATTCTACTGCACTGTTGGAGCCAGTAACATAAGCATTTTGCTTCACCTGCTATAACACCTGCAAATCTGTGTACGCGACCAATAAACTTTGATTTGATTTGATTTGAGAGAGACCGAGAGAGTGTGTGGGAGAGAGCCAAAGCCAGAGGTTATGTGAGGTAAGTGTTACCACCGAATATCTGAAAAATAAGGAAATCTGAAAAATAAGATGCCCTACAGTAGTTCACTCCAAACTACCACAACTAAATAATTTTGGTGCAACGCAGACTCATTTCTTCTTCTACCAAGCCTTGCCTTACAAACTGTAGCCTGGAAGTCTGATTATGGGTTTGGAAAATCAAACATGCTGTTTTACATCTTTATAGAATGATATACTACTGTACATCACTCAGCATCAGTAGTACAGCAGCCCTCGCCATCTCAACAGATTAGGAATCAATGATAATGTGCTTGAGATGTATGTAATCAAAGGAGAACTACAATATATGAAACACAGTCAATGCTGTACGCTTCAGAAAGCAGTGTCAGGAAAGAGAGCTATGAAATCGGCAGTGGGCTGTTACAATAAAGATAAAGGTGATGTCTTCTTATGCACCTACCGCGCCTAAAATATAACAATTCCCATAGAACCTGTGTGATTTGATCGACTGCAAGTTGTCAGTCATGTTGAAGCGTTAAAATATGAAAGACAATGAATTATTTACAACTCTCAAGTTTGGGCCTGAGGTTCAACACATCAAATTCCCAAGCCGGAAACAGCTAGTCATTCAGAATAAATCCAGGGAAATTGATTCCACAGCAAACCAAATATGGTTCTTTCAATGTTCCCGGGACTTTCCATTGGGTTGTGAGAATGGTGATGGACAGTAAAACTAACACCTCAAAATACAACATTTGATATGGTTAGGGACAGTTTTTTCCCTGGTCACGTGGTCAGTAAGAAATTCCTGGTCCTAGTTATGGATGTCTCCTTACCTCGGCAGACGTTCCCGTTATCCGTCTCGAAACCGGCCTTGCAGGTGCAGCTCCCGATAGGAACCATCCACTCGCCATCTCCATTGCAGTACAGCTTTATGGGAACGTCCACCTCCTCTGAATTCGGGATGCAGATCCCTCTAGCGATTACCAGGGAGGTGCTCTCAGCCCCTGTCATGGTCTCAGGGAAGATGGCAAAGTTCTGCACCACACTGGGGCACTTCTTATAAAACACCCTGACCGAGAGCAGCGACATACAGGCGCCATAGTCCTGAAACGCCAGGTAGAACCCATTCTTCGAGAGTGGGCCAAAGCTCCGAACCTCCGTGTTGACCTTCATCAACCGTCCGCCGAAGTCCACCTGGGAGAAGCTCTCGTCGGCCGCGATGGTGTCAACCTTCAGGTAGGGGGCTTCCATCCAGAAGGCGGTTCCTTTGGTGGCGATAACAGAGTCCGTCTCGTAGTAGTAAAGGTTGAAGGTCTCCTTGCAGGAGCCGGGGACGTTGGGGATGGAGCTGCAGTCACGCACGGTGAAGCGCATCTCCACGTAGATCCTCTGAGCTCCACGTCGGTCGATGAAGGTGGTGAGGAGCCAGTTGTTCTGGCTGGGCTCGAACACGTTGCACACCTGGTAGGTCCGTATGGTGTTGAGGTTCTCGTCGTAGCCGCTCACCTCCTCCCACTGTGAGAGAAACAGAGTAGAGACCAGAGAGAGGGGGGCTTGATTAGAAACATACAGTATCTTGAAAAGTCACAAACACAGCCATGAAGAGTTTTTGACACAGCAATGCCAAAAGAGAGGGATGCTCAGCTAGTATCACTTCAAATCTATATGTAAACACATTTCTGAAACCATATATGTATTTATATTAACTTTTTTCAGCTTTGCAAAAGGTATGGAAAAATAACATGAAGTTTAGATATAACCAAGGAAACTATAAGTAAATTTGAAGCAGCTGAAGATAAATGATCTTACAATTTTGAAGACAAACTTATGGCAGGGATATGGAAACTTAATTTGGACTCAACTGACTTCCTGAAATGACAGTTCCCTGTCTACCAGTGGTTATGTCTAAAAGCAGTTTCTCTGGAACCCATTCGCAAGGTCGAAGTTCACTGTCCAGTATCCAGACGACCTTTCCCCAGAGCTTCCTATACAGTTACTCTTTCTGCAACGTGTTGAGGCCGGCAATTGAGAATGAGATGCTCAATTAAAGATGTTACAGAACTGCTGTATTTGAAGCACAACTCCCTTCTGCCCAGTTTCCCTGATTTTGCTGTTTTTGCCAGCCCTGTAACTGTTGCTTCTGTGGAGTGATTGTTTTCTCAACTAAAACTCATAAAGGACTACCCAAGAAGAATTAGGCTCTCGGTCTGACATGCGCTTTTGAACATCAAAGTAAGACCACTAATTGCAATGGTGCCATCGTAGCCTTGACCATGGTATTTGTTCACTGATATCCCCTTATACTTTCAATTAGTTTATTTGATATTTTTCACCTTTTCAGTCACATTCCTGAATCCCAAGAAACAAACACTTAGCGTCCTAGTACATATGGAATTTAAAAAGGTTTATTAATGACTTTTTGGAAGGTTACTGTCAAAATGAATAATTCGATTTAAAAAAATAATAGACATTGATGACAGGCGCATGGGTAAAAGGTTTATGAATGATTTTTTGGAGGGTTACTGTCATAATTCTATATGACTCAAAAAATATTTTACATCGATGACAGGCACATGGGCCCCCAGAGCTTGGAAAACTCAGGGATGAGACCCTTCAGAGCTGCTGCAGTGTGTCTGGGGCTGCTGTGTGTTCTCCTACTGGCTGGGATCATAGGTCTGTGTATCTACCACAACAAAGTATTCGGTGAGTTTGAAGATTATAAAGCTTCCAACAACAACCTGACAATAGAGAGAGAAGAGTTATAGACATTTTTATAAAACATTTATGTTTACGTGCAAATGCCTCTCCTGTGACGTAGTGACATGTGACATACGCCTAGTTTCCTGAAACGAGTCACAATTGGGTTCTCTCCTTAAACAAGTTGTTATACCTGTTTAAGGAGACAACCCAATTGTGACTCGTTTCAGGAAACTAGGCGTATGACACATGTCACTACGTCACAGGAGAGGCATTTGCACGTAAACATAAATGTTTTATAAAAATGTGTTTTTGGCCAGAAATTCCTTCTGGAACATGTGAACTTTCACGTGCCGTAATAACAAACTTGTATGCCATCTGTAAATACGAATAAAATTGTTGGTTTAGTCACAGAAAAAGACAGGAACCTTCCCGCTATCCATGATTGGCTGAGATAATGGATGGGCTGGACATGCCGAGAGTTGAGTTCGGATTGGTAGCATGCTTCTGTCTATAACATGAGCTGCTCAGTATGTGTAGATAATCCTTTCTAACGCAGCTTTTTTGAAAGATATCATGAAGAACTGCAAAAGTGTTGCCCTGAATTTAACAGGCGCTATCGTATCGACAAAAATCAGTGGGAAAAAGTTGTGATGGACTACTTTCTGGAAGACGATCGTGCCATGCTGACTCTCTCTGAATCAGACAATATGGAAATCCCTGATTTAGGTAAAAACATATTCATTGTACCAGACATTGTAGAGTCTTCTGGTGACAGTGATGGGGGAAGAAACAGTGTTGTTGTCACAGAAGAAGTTGACCGAGTTTTGAAATCAGTTGAATGCCTGGTGGAAGCAGAGTATGATAGCTAAGGAGATGGAGAAAATTATAGCGTATGATTGCAAATATGCGGAGGGAGTTGAAAAGAGAACACAGAAGGCTTTATACAATATTTGTCTAGATTTTTTATTTTTTTTGTTAATATGCAAGTAACCATTTCACTGTACCATTTCCATCTACTGTATACTGTGCATGTGACCAATAAACATATATTTTATTTTATATAGTGTGTGTTTACCAGAGACGGTAATATGAAGAACAACATGACCTGCACTAAAGTCAGATTAGGATATAGGCCAAGGACTAGATAAAGTGTATGTTTGCTACTACTTTCACCACTTTTATTCTTGAAATCTTTGGTTGTTTATTACACTACACTACCTTACTCACTCTGTTTAGCACATGGCCTCACATGTGAACCCTTAAAGAGATGGTTGGGGCTAAGGCTTAAGAGGGTGTGAATGATTCTGAATGAGTGTAGACAAAGAAGAGCTCTCTCTCCAGTTGGTGTTCCAAAACATTCAAAGGCCATTTTCCCTAAAGTGGGGTTACAAGTTTATGAACTTTCAAAGCAGAATTACTTTCCTTTTGTTCCTCAACAGCAGTGTATGATATACCATTTTTGAGTCTCTACTTTTATCCAATGTAAAACACACAATTTCAAATTTTTCTACAAAGGACCGAATCGAGCCAGTCAGTCACAATTACAGAACATTTATAGCACCGTGAAAAATGAAAGAGACCAGCTACAGACAAGCAACAGAAACCTGGCTAAAGAGAGAAACCATCTACAGAACAGCAGTAAGAACCTGTCAGAGGAGAAAGACCTACTTACCAGTTATAGAAAACTGTATAAAGAAATAGACGAGCTACAGGTCAGTTTCAACAATCTGTCTAAAGAGAAAAATGAGCTACAGACCAGCAACAACAAACTGACGACAGAGAAAGACCAGATAAAGAACGGCGACAATGCCATGAAAGGTGAAAGAGACAGGGCACTGAGCAACTACAACAACTGCCTTAGCTATTTTAGAAAAGAGGGATGTCCATAAATGGACATTTTGTTAATTCACACATATACAGTGGCTTGCGAAAGTATTCACCCCACTTGGCATTTTTGCTATTTTGTTGTCTTACAACCTGGAATTAAAATATATTTATTGGGGGTTTGTATCATTTGATTTACACAACATGCCTACCACTTTGAAGATGCAAAATATATTTTCTTGTAAAATAAACAAGAAATAACACAAAATAAAAAAGAAAACATGAGCGTGCATAACTATTCATGCATAACGCGTGCAGGGTTATCTTTGGTATCTTTGTTGCCTTTCTGCCTGGTCCGTGAGTTTTGGTGAGCAGCCCGCTCTTGGCAGGTTTGATGTGGTGCCATATTCTTTCCATCTTTTAATAATGGATTTAATGGTGCGCCGTGGGATGTTCAACGCTCCGGATATTTTTTTATAACCCAACCCTGATCTGTACTTCTCCACAACTTTGTCCCTGACCTGTTTGGAGAGCTCCTTAGTCTTCATGATGCCCCTTGCTTAGTGGTGTTGCAGACTCTGGGGCCTTTCAGAACAGGTGTATTTATACTGAGATCATGTGACAGATCATGTGACACTTAGATTGCACACAGGTGGACTTTATTTAACTAATTATGTGACTTCTGAAGGTAATTGGTTGCACCAGATCTTATTTAGGGGCTTCATAGCAAAGGGGGTGAATACATATGCACGCACCACTTTTCCGTTATTTATTTTGTATAATTTTTTGAAACAAGTTATTTTTTAAATTTCACTTTACCAATTTGGACAATTTTGTGTATGTCCATTACATGAAATCCAAATAAAAATCAATTTAAATAACAGGTTGTAATGCAACAAAATAGGAAAAACACCAAGGGGGATGAATACTTTTGCACAAGTATTACACATCCAAACTTTCAGGAGATCCACAGCTGATTAATTACCTTGCCTGAGAAACCCAAAGCCTAAAACCAATGAGAGTATACCAAGAGGAACTGCTTCTCTAATAGAAATCTCTGATCACACTTGTAGGCAATGTCATGGCGACATTACCAAGCTAAGCTCATGTGCATAGATGTATCATCAGGTCTAACGGTCTTGTCGCACCGAAATGTGCATGTGCAAGCGGTCAAATCAAGGCACTCCTTTGATATAGAAATATATATCGTTTTTGACGATAATTAAAATGTGTGTTTGTCACTTTCACAAAGTTGTAATCATGACATGTTCAGCTACTTACAACACTGTCTCCAATCTAAATTGTGCATTTAGAAAATGAACAACTAAGGAATAATTTCTCCCTCCCATTGACTTCCCAAACCCCTGGTCTGTTTGGTCTGCTTGGCGGCATCCCCGGATGTATTGGCCGCTTGGTTTAGAAACTCTGTTCTATAGCCCCATGTCCATGTGTCTTGTTATCATGATATAATGGATCTTTCTCTGCCTGCCAATGTGATGTGATCTAACAAAACTGGCTTTGCTATTTCATTTGTTTCTCTTTTTTAGGTTGCTTGCTTGTATTGTTAATTTGTTGTTATCTGATTGATTTATCTTGATTATTGATTGATTTGCCTTGTCAATTGTTGTCTTTGTTGCATAATGAAACATGAAAAATTAACACACCTCTGGTTGTAGCAGCCCTATGTCACATCTAGATTATAACAACAAGTAGGCCTAGTACTCAACAAACAAAACTGACTTCCTGAAATGACAGTTCCCTGTCTACAAGTGGTTATGTCTAAAATAGCATCAGATAAAGGGAGACAATGGTAACAAACATAAAGGAATCTGGTTGCTGCAGAACCAATTCATTTTGAAAAACCAATCCATTTTATATGTGTTCACAAACAGGTGCATGGACATTTAATTTGGACTCAACTGACTTCCTGAAATGGCAGTTCCCTGTCTAGCAGTGAGTACAGCTCCAGATAGAGAGATACAGCGATAGCACATTTAGGAATCTGGTTCTTTGTTCAAATCAACATAAAGAAGAAGATTAATTTCTAGATCTGCTACCGCAATACCAAAAACACAGCCACCTCCTCATTCTTGTGAAGTCTTATCTTCACACCTATTTAGCAGCCAATCACATACATAGTTTTGTATTGTCTGCCTAATATGGCATGCCCATTGGTGGTAAGACATCTATAAAATGTTCAGTACACACCTTCATACTAGAACATATTCTGTAGCAGATCGTCTGGTAATAGTAATTGAGACCGTGGTAGAACATGAAGATGTCAGAGGATAAGTATGCCAATATGGACCAGTTATGTAACAAAGGGGCAAGCAAAAATGAGAATATCTATGAAGATGACATCGCCTCTCAGGACTCAAGAGACAAGACCAAGAAGGATGCCACCTCTAAGATCAGACCAGGAGCTAACCCCTCAAGTTCTGATAACTCACGTAGGAGACCCTCCAGAGCTGCTGCAGTTTGTCTGGGGCTGCTGTGTGTTCTCCTACTGGCTGGGATTGTAGGTCTGGGTCTCCACCACAAGCATATCTTCAGTGAGTTTGAGGATTGTAAAGCCAGCAACATCAACCTGGCTAAGATGAAAGACCAGTTACAGATCAGCTTCAACAACATTACCAAGGAAAAAGACCAGCTACAGACCAGCTTCAACACCATGACTAAGGAGGCCGACCAGCTACAAACCAGCTACAACACCATGAAAAAGGAGAGAGACCAGCTACAGACCAGCTTCAACACCATGACTAAGGAGGCCGACCAGCTACAAACCAGCTACAATACCATGAAAAAGGAGAGAGACCAGCTACAGACCAGCTTTTCTGACCTAAAACAAGCTGGGCCTAAAGGCTGGACGCTGTTTCAGTCCAGTTGGTATTACATCTCCTCTGAGGTCAAATCCTGGGATGAGAGCAGACAGGACTGCTTGGAGAGAGGAGCAGACCTGGTGATTATAAACAGCAAAGAGGAGCAGACATTTCTCACTATGCCGGACAAGAGGGTATGGATTGGCCTGACTGACAAAGACAGAGAGGGGACCTGGAAATGGGTGGACGGTACCCCACTGACCACAGCCTATTGGTCGGGACAACAACCTGATAATGGTAATGGGGATCCAATATATGGGGAGGAGGATTGTGCTGAGATCGTTATTATGTGGATATGGAATGATATTTCATGTGCAAATAATTTCAATTGGGTCTGTGAGAAGGTTATTAACAGTGTTATAATTTAATGCATGTGTATATACCAGATGTGCTCCCTGAATTACTCTGAAATGTAAAGACTGTTCCTTCCTATTTGTGTTCACAAACTGGTGGTTAGGCAGACTTTGGCACTTAATGTGGACTCAACTGACTCCCTGAACAGACCATTCCCTGTCTACCAGTGGTTATGTCCAGTGGTGTAAAGTACTTACAGTACCAGTCAAAAGCACCCCCACACCATAACACCTTCTCCTCCATGCTTTACGGTGGCAAATACACTTGCAGTGATCATCCGTTCACCCACACCGCGTCTCACAAAGACCAAAAATCTCAAATTTCGACACCAGACCAAAGGACAAATTTCCACCAGTCTAATGTCCATTGCTTGTGTTTCTCGGCCCAAGAAAGTCTCTTCTTCTTATTGGTGTCCTTTAGTAGTGGTTTCTTTGCAGCAATTCAACCACGAAGGCCTGATCCACACAGTCCCCTCTGAACAGTTGATGTTGAGATGGGTCTGTTACTTGAGCTCTGTGAAGCATTTATTTGGGCGGCAATCTGAGGTGCAGTTAACTCTAATGAACTTTAACACTTTTTTGTTACTACATGATTCCATATGTGTTATTTCATAGTTTTGATGTCTTCACTATTATTCTACAATGTAAAAAATAGTAAAAATAAAGAAAAACCCTTGAATGAGTAGGTGTGTGCAAACTTTTGAATGTTTTGAAAGTTACTTGAAAGTAATTACTTTTACTTTTACTCCACTAAATTCCTAAAGAAAATAATGCACTTTCTACTCCATACAATTTCCCTGACACCCAAAAGTACTCGTTATATTTTGAATGCTTAACAGGACAGGAAAATTGTCTAATTCATGCACTTAAAGAGAAAATCCCTGGTCATCCCTACTGCATCTGATCTGTCGGACTCACTAAACACAAATGCTTTGTTTGTAAATTATGTCTGAGTGCTGGCTATCCTTAAATTAAAAAAACAAGAAAAGTGTGCAGTCTGGTTTGCTTAATATAAGGAATTTGAAATGATTCATACTTTTACTTTTACTTTTGATACTTAAGTATATTTTGGTAATTACATTTACTTTTGATACTTAAGTATATTTAAAACAAAACTGACTTTTACTCAAGTAGGATTTTACTTGGTGACTTTCACTTTTACTTGAGTCATTTTCTATTAAGGTATCTTTACTTTTACTCAAGCATGACAATTGGGTACTTTTCCCACCACTGGTTATGTCTAACACAGCATCAGATAAAGATATAGCAATGTGGTACTGTCAGCTCAGGACATTAGCAGCCTGCGAGGGCTTTTTATTTCAAACTTAGCAAGCATGTGGAGAAATATTATGCAAAATGGAAGAAATACCTATAGCCACATCAGACGTCCTTGAAATGTTATCCTATATACCCCCCTATTCATGTGTATTGCTATCGTGATGCATGTAATGGATTTTACTCTGCCTGCCAGTGTGATGTGATCTACTTTAGTTTGGTTATTTGTCTGTTGCTTTTTGGGGTTGCTTGCTTGTATTGTTAATTTGTTGTTATCTGATTGATTTATCTTGACTATTGATTGATTTGTTTCGTCAATTGCTTTTTGCATAATCAAAAATGTCAATAAAGATTTTGGTCATTAAAAATGAACACTCCTCTGGTTGTAGCAGCCATATGTCACATCTAGAGTATTACAACAAGTAGGCCTAGTACTAAATGGACTCAACAGAATTCCTGTAATGACAGTTCCCTGTCTACCAGTGGTTATGACAACTTCTGGAGGACGTCCTCCAACCTATCAGAGCACTTGCAGCATGAACTGACATGTTGTCCACCCAATCAAAGGATCAGAGAATGAATCTAGTACTGAGAGCATAAGATACTGCTGGATAGCACTGTGGTGCATAACATATGGTGAGTAGTTCACTCAAAGAGAGAGAAAGACTATAGTTGAACAGTTTTCAACAAATTAAGTTCTTCAAAAATGAAGGAGAAGCAAGCGAGAGAGAGAGAGAGAGAGAGAGAGAGAGAGAGAGAGAGAGAGAGAGAGAGAGAGAGAGAGAGAGAGAGAGAGATGTCATCATTTCTTTTCACTTTCAGTTTCACTTACTTAGCTAGCAAATGCAGCTGGCTAGCTTAGTTACTCAAACACCCGGCTCAAACAGAGGGATGCTATGTTAGCTAGCTGGCTATGACTATCCAACACAACACTGGAACTCTTCCAAGTCAAGGTAAGCTTTTGGTTTTATGAATTTATTGCCACCCGGGCCCGCCGGTCTAACTGCTTATACACTGTAAAGTTTCTGCATGATTGTAGCGGATTTACTAACACATTAGTTTTATTAGCTATGTTGACTAGGACATTACCTTAGCTAATATGGGGACAACGATGTAGGGTTATGCCATGGTTTGGCTTGGATTTTGTTTTTCAGCCTGGTCACATACAGCTGATGTGTTGTGCATTGAAGTCTCCTGAGTGAATTCAAATCAATTGAATTTACTACAGGTGGACTCCAATCAAGTTGTAGAAACATCTCAAGGATGGTCAATGGAAACAGGATGCACCTGAGCTCAATTTTCTAGTCTCTTAGCAAAGGGTCTGAATACTTATGTAAATAAGGTATTTCTGTTTTCGCTTTGTCATTATGGGGTATTGTGTTTAGATTGATGAGGGAAAAAATAATTTAATACATTTTAGAATAAGGCTGTAACATAACAAAATGTGGAAAAAGTCAGGGGGTCTGAATACTTTCCAAATGCACTGTGTATAGTGTATGTTGCAGATGTGGTCCCTGAATAACCTTTGCGGCATGACATTTTGATATGGCAAGGAAATTATTTAGAAATTTGACAAGAAGCTTCAAAGAAATTACTCCAAAATGTAAACACTGTTCTTTAAAATTTGGGTTCACAAACTGGTGGGTAGGCAGACACATTGGCACTTAATGTGGAATCAACTGACTTCCTGAAAAGACAGTTCCCTGTCTACCAGTGGTTATGTCTAAAACAGCATCAGATAGATACACTTCCTCCCGTATTTATTTGGACAGTGAAGCTAAAATGTGGACATTTGGCTCTATACTCCAGCATTTTGGATTTTAGATAAAATGTTTCATATGAGGCGTCAGTACAGAATGTCACCTTTTATTTGAGGGTATTTTCATATATACAGTATTTGTTTTACCGTTTAGAAATGAAAGCACTTTATGTATCTACCCCTCCCTAACCCTCCCCCAAGTATTTGGACAAAATCACTTATAGTGTATTAAAGTAGTCAAATGTTTGGCATTTGGTCCCATATTGCTAGCACACAATGACTACATCAAGCTTGTGACTACAAACTTGTTGGATGCATTTGCAGTGTGTTTTGGTTGCCTTTCGGATTATGTTTTGCCCAACAGGAACTGAATGGTGTATATTGCATTGTGTCATTTTGGAGTAATTTTATTGTAAATAAGAATAGAATATGTTTCTGAGCACTTCTACATTAATGTGGATGCTACCATTATTATGGATAATCATGAATGAATAATGAATAATGATGATTATACCCCCAAAATCATGAATAAATATAATATCCAGAGTGCGAATTACACTGTGACATTTGGAGGGGTCTCTATTGGGTCTCTATTATGGGCTTCATAGTAAAGATGTAATTTAATGGTAAAAATGTATACCTTTTATTGTCTGATTGTCAAACATATCACTTCAGAATGTAGGCTACCTGTGCATGTTCGTCCACTCCAAAATAATTCCAGCAACCAAACAGTAGACTGTTACAAAACACCAAAAAGTGTGCCTAATGACATTTGTTGATTGCCATTGATTAGGCCTACATTAATTGATGCGTCTTGTTGACCAAGTTACCTTTTTCTGTAGCCTGAAAAGTCGGGAAACCTGAAATGGGGCTGAAACTATTGATTGATGGATCTTGTCAGTTGTCTTTGTTGCATGATGAAAAATCTGGTTGTAGCAGGCCTATGTACACATCTACAGTATTACAACGGGTAGGCCTAGTACTTCTCTGTACCAGAGTGAAGTGATGCATACAGTATTAAAAGGATACTTTGGGATTTTAGCATGCAAATAGATACCCATAGACTTCCAGTCATTGTGCTAACACTAGTTAGCATTGGCTTGTGAAACTACCTCTAACTTCATACTAGACACAAAGACATAAAATGGTATCCATGAGTTCACCTGACTCTGTGGAAGTAGATAAAGGGTCTCATTACCAAAATCTCAAAGTATCCCTTGAAGGGGTCTGTGCACATTTATAAAAATGCTCTATGGACTTTGAAGAGACTTTCCAAAGAGACAAATGCAGAGGTGATCTCATTGTCACTTCACCGGACTTCACACATACAGCCACAGTGTGTGACTTCCTGAGGCCATGCATTTACAAGCCAATTACACATGTTGTTTTGCATCGCCTTGCTGAAATGATAGCTTCCTGGTTACCGTCGCATATAGAACGCTTCGGACTCACTGCACAGCTTTCTTACAACATACACAAACATTACTAGAACATCAGGTAGCAGTAATTGAGACAGTGGGAGATCATGTAAATGTCTGAGAATATCTATGCCAATATTGACTTCATGTTTTCAGGTGACTCCTGTGGCAGAGGGCCAGCAAGCAGAGATGAGGATATCAATGATGATACCATCATCTCCCTAGACTCAAGAGACGAGGCCGAGTACGAAGCCACCTGTAAATGTTTTGGCCTGGCGGCCAGCTCTAGGAAGAGTCTTGGTGGTTCCAAACTTCTTCCATTTAAGAATGATGGAGGCCACTGTGTTCTTGGGGACCTTCAATGCTGCAGAAATGTTTTGGTACCCTTCCCCAGATCTGTGCCTCGACACAATCCTATCTTGGAGCTCTACGGACAATTCATTCGACCTCATGGCTTGGTTTTTGCTCAGACATGCACTGTCAACTGTGGGACCTTCTATAGACAGGTGTGTGCCTTTCCAAATAATGTCCAATCAATTGAATTTACTACAGGTGGACTCCAA